CAGCCCCCCCCCCCCCCCTCGCGTTATCCTGACCGCAATCAACAGTTCTTGTGCATCAGATCTGTGCCCGCCGCAATTCTTTGAATGCTTTATCTCAGTAATGAGCACGGAGGGAGGGCAAGGAGAATGACTTCATCTGACGCATTTAATGTGTCTTCTTTCTTCCCTTCTTCCTGTATCTTTTCTTTTTCTCTCACTTTGTGTTTCCTTCTTCATTTTGTCATCTGGTTTGAATCTTGGTCAGGTTGAAGGTTGCTGTCTTCTGGGTTATTGCGCTGTGTAGTCTGGTAGGAGTTTACCAATATTTTACGTTTTAGAGTCCTTGCTGCAAGGACCTTCGAAACGTCGGTGTACTTATACCAGACTAGACGGCGTAACAACCCAGAAGACAGAAATCTTCAGACTCACCGCCGTGAAAATCTCAAATCCTCAGGCAGGTTATCAGCTATAGTAAATGTTTTCCTTAGTCACGTTCTTCAGTCTGTCAAGACCAATATCTGAATTGTCCTTTCGAGTAAGCCATGATTCTTCATCCATATCTAAATCCATGCCTGCGCACAATTCGTGTTGTCGTTTCATTTAATTGAAACGCTAAAGATGAAGTAACATCGTTCAGCAACGATTAATTGATAGGCCTGCTTTATTTATTTAATGATTCTTACCAGCTATCTAGTTTGTACAGTATCAAGTGGTACGGTGATTATGAATAGCAAATAAGAAACAATGAACGTCGAATGAAGCGACCGTGGCTTATTTTAAAGTAGTACTCCATAATTTGCCTGAAGACTGTATTAGAGCAACGAGAATCATCAGTCAACTTATAATCACTAAAATATGAACTGTTTTTTTTTTAAAATTATAAGTTTGTTAACAAAATATTTTGCATCCGCGGCCTGAAAATTAAGTAGAATTCTTGATTTCTGTATCGTCTGGTAACTTACTCCATGGAACAGAGAACTTTTCGAGAAGGTAACAGTACACTCAGGTGGTCAAAAAATTTCCTGCCTTTTACGAAACACGAGTGTTCATTGCCATGTTCACAAGAGCCCTCCAACAGTCAATGTCCTTGACCGTATCTATCCAGTCCACGTCCTCAATATTTCCCTAGCATCCTTTATAATATTATCATCCAATCTACGTCTAGGTTGAGTGTAGCTCTGTCTTTACATAACCTAAAAATCGATAATTTTGTTATTCCGTCCGTCAGTATTTGACTTAAACAGTTGATACCACGTCGTTGAATAATCCATCATCTAATTTTTGCTCCTCCCTCGTTGCAAGAGCGCATCCCACAACACAGCAGACCGGTTGCTAGGCAGATCTCCCCTCGGACGGATATGTAAACCAGCGATCGTCGTCGCGACGGTGGAAGGAATCGAGACGGGAAGAGCAAAACTGTGTCGGTGTGACGTCACCCTCACCTCTTTCATAACCACACGAGGGTAAGACGTAAGATATCTGCAGTTCCACGCCTAAGTAACAGGACCGCAACATCTGCAGTCGTCCATTGATCATTCCCCCAGTTTTCGTTTTATTTGCGTTAGTGCAGAATTATGGCGTAAGAAACTTTGAAGATATGGTAAGCTTGGCATACTTGATAACTACAGAAGAAAATCAAAATTACATTTATGACGAAATTAACAACTGATTAAATTATAAAAATGTTTGCTACTACGCAGTTCAGAAACTTTCATACCATGTTCTTTGCACCTAATCCTGAACACGTAACAAATAATATTTTACCTGGTCCATAATTTGAATTTTTACACCATTTCTGGACTATCGAGCTGTTGTGTCGTATACAAAAGTTTCTGAGGGACTTTCTGTTTCTATTTTCAGGGTTAAAGATTCGAACCTGTTATTTATGCTGCAAATTTGAAATGTAAGAAGAAGGATTGAGTCAGTATAGAACCAAAGTTTTGATGTCAATAAATGAAGCCAGAATACAATCACGGAAGAAAATTACATGACGGGAGACTGATAATCTTCACCCTGAAGACGGAGACAGAATGTTCCTCCAAAATCTTGGTATAGCCAACATACTACTAGGCGCAACGTCTCAGAAGACAACCATCTATAAATCCTTGT